ATGCCAAGGAATCGTGCGCGTTTTCGAACAATGTGTGGTACCCACCATGCAAAAGCGGGTTTGTCTTGAATGCCCTTGCTTATTGTATAGTCTGCCACTTCAATTGGGAAGGACTCTTTCATGTCTTACAAAGGTATCCAGTTCGAGGAACCATCTTTCCAAGTGACATAAAAGTCCCAACCTGCGGTAGTATGTCGTCTTCGTTGCGTTACACTCTTCAAGCTATAAAAACCGTCTTGTTTCTTTACTGCTTTCTTGTTAGAACGGTGTTCCGTGATCTCTTCCATCAGCAAGTGTTTGTGGCCATGTTCATCCACTTGCACCAGTAGGTTTTCTGCTAGTAATTTTGCGGAGAATATCTCGGTGCCTCCGTCTTCATATTCGACTTTGTATTGCCTTGTGTCTAGTAACTGGTTGTTGTTTGCCACACCGGTTGGGTTTCCTTCTGCATCAACAATTCGCCTGCGTACAACAGCACGCTGTAGTTCCCCTTCTTGGCCTCGCCTTAAACCAATTTCCATGTTGACATAGTTTTGTGCGTTGATGTCGTCTGTTTCCGTAGTCCCCTGGAGCATGCCGTCATCAACGTCCTCAGCCTCGATCAACTTGTTGAAACTGCATTTGAATTCGGCGTCTTCCAATTCAAGGTCAAACATCAATTGTGGTGGTATTTCATTCTTCCCCCAACTGATGTCTCCTGTTTTTGCATCTAGACCTTTGGATACATCAGTTGTCCATTACGCCATTTGTTCCTTTACAACGTCTGTTTGCTTTTCGGCTTCCGTGATGTTTTGAACGGTGTCAGTAGAGATTGGGCGGCCACTCTTTGGTAATATCCAATACGTCATCATTGGACCCGTTCGGTGTGACACTCCCAACCACCTACCAATCTCATTCGTCCCTAAGGCGCCATCCGTGCGATAGTATACCCATCCGTAGATGGTAAAGTCCATGTACTCCGTTATGTTGGGTGTGATGCCAGTGATCACTTCCAATGACACTCTTCCATCAGAATACCTTGAGTAGTTCGCCGTAATATTCATCGTGTCAACCACGTAGTCAAGTACAAAATCCCAAAGTCGTTCTGGTACCCCATGCTTAACTATTAGTCTGTAGAACCGTCCTTTAAGTTCTCTGATTCCCCCTTTGGCTGGGTTTTCTTCCGGTCGATACGGCCTGGAAATGTGGTAATCAATTGCTGCTCTGTTGATCGTTTCCATGAAAGTCGTGTTGCGTCCTACTTGGACTGCTGCTCCGTCCATGGTGAGATGTTCTGGGATTCCGTATTCTGCTATGAACTTCTTGAGGGTTGGTCCAACTTGTTTGTCGTCCACTTTGGAAAGGTGATGGCAGCTGTAGAAACCACTTTTGTGGAAGTAGATTTGGCTTGCAATTTTACCTCGGATTGACTTGTGGTTGAAATATGCTGTGTCTGTTGAGAACTTTCCTCTCAATCTTGGTCTTAACCGTTTTCTGATCAGAGGCTGATTCGAGGCTGATTTTTTAAAAGACGTAGGATATATACAAGCTCTACGTAAAAAACAAATATTTTGCCAGTATCACCAAAATCACCCAATATTAGTTGATCAAGTTCGCTGATATGAAGGCATTGGCGACAATCAGACAAAGGCCCATCACTAAATACAATAGATAAAGAAGAACTTTCCTAAGTGGAATTATTTTGTTGGACCACTACCACATCTACGATCTTATGTTTCCCAGCAGTCAAAACTTGTGTAGGACTGTGTAGGACCAGTACCAGGAAAAACTAAGAAATGCCTTTTGTGAAATGTCGAAATCTCATCGCACCTTCTGACAATGATTTCCACTTACGGAGGCTTATTGTACCCTTTCTATGATATAAAAGAGTTTCTGCTATGTGTTCAGTTCTTTGGTGGCCATATTTGGTAAAGGGCATTTAGAGTTTACAATTGTGGTCGGTGGAGTCAATTTTACGTAGATTTTGTACCATATCCACGTGTTTGGGTTTTGTGCAGCTCGGTCAGGAAACGGTTAAGAACATTCCGTCCGCTCAATATTTTGGCGCTAGTGGCAAGATGGCGGATTGAGCTCCTCTTTGGAGTGTCGATCTCAAAGTGGCTTGTGCTCTGTTCAATCCAATACCTAGTCGTTCCGATAGATTTTCTGCCGTTACCTTGGTATGTCGTTCAGTGGATACAAATGATGGCCTTACTGGCACGTCCGCAAATCATTCATTTCCTGTTTGTGCCATTTGTTGCAAGAATCTTTCCCCATCGGCCATCGCCGTTTGTACGGTGCGCCATTCGTTCATCCCTTGCATTATGGGATCAAATTGTCTCAGTTCTGCCTCGTTGGATCTTGGATTGTCTACATGGTCCTCAGTGTCTTTGTGGGCTGCTGAGACCTTACCAAGTTGGACAGTTCCTGGGTTCCACGGCACCTTGCTCGTCATATCGACGTGGAGACAGGTTGCAAGTTCTTGTTCAGTTGGCGCCCTCGAATCAAAAAGTAACTTTGTGCCTTTTATTGCCTTTAATGCTATGAATATCTTTTTGGATTCAATACCAACATGTCTTCTTTCGTCAAAAGGGTTATCCCATAGGGGAATTCCGAAACTTTGTACCTGGTTTGGATTTATTAGTGAATGGTCCAATCGGTTCCTATAGTAGAGTGCTTCGTTAATTATCAAGATGAACGTATTACCAGTCTGTGGACAATCAAAAGCAGTTGCCCCCGACATAATAGGAACGTTCGTCGGTGGTAACGCTGGGTCGTATGCATATGCATCTGCTGATCTTGGTGTGTAACTCATGATCACGAAGTTCTTGCCAAGGCAACAAGTGTCGGTATTAGTGTCCATTTCATTACTCGCCAGCGTTCCTGGTGTTGGTTGTTGTACAGGTTGTTGGGATGCGGCTGTGTTGGATGAGATCACTCGCACAATTCGTCTGACCTCGCCTACCGCGGATCATGGTGACGATCCACCTGCCTGTTGGTTGCGTCCGCTTGCCTGTTGGTTGCGTCCGCCCATTACGGAAGTTCCACCAATCCCCATTGTCACTTGTGATATCCGTGTAGCTGATTCTCCCGTTTCAACAGCCCCAGGGACGTTGTTCGATCTGAGTGACGCTATCTCTGCTCTTAACTCAGACAGTTGTGCTTCCGTGGTAGTCTGTCGCGTTTGTCTTGCCGGCATTCCCTGACGTGCACGATGTGCAGCCTTTTCATTTGACATGCGTTCTTGTTGGGAAATCGGTCATTGCCCGTAGCTGATCCCGAGGGAAGTGATAACTTGGGTGGACCAGATTTTCTCCCCATTGCTCAGGGTAATCTCTTCTTTGTCTCGGTGTCTGTTTCTTCCTCCTCCATTTTGGCTCCTGCTCCTGTCGTCATTTTGCCTGTTCCTATCGTTACTAGCTCGAGCCTCGCCCACGTGTCGTCCCCTGTCAGTGGCATTGTTATTTCCTTGGGGAAATTTCCCTTACTGCAGTTCGGTAGATTTGTAATGCGGCCGTGAAATTTATCACCATTGGCCGTTTGCCAATTTTTGTATCAATCGCCGTCTTCTTCAGTTGTAGAAAGGATGCTGTAACCTTGGTTTGCAGGTTAGGTAGTTTCATTGCCTCCGAATGTACTACTCTCCCCTCATGTTTGTCGTATGCTGCGTATGCTTTCTTCATCATGCTTTTCTCCCACGTAGCATAGGTTCTTGACGGTGTGTTCGGCCTCCACGATGTCGTGGGCTAGGAGTCCTTCACCTTTGTAGTGGGTGCGTAGGGCGATAAATGCATCCCTTCCCTTGCCTTTGACATGAATGGCTCGTAGTGTCGCCTCTGCCTCGGTATTGCCAACGATAAATCTCTCAAGAGGACAAAAACTTTGGCGCTGTCCATTGTAAAGGCTTCACCATTGAGTGGTGCCATTTGGATGTACGTCTCTAGGAAGGTATGTCGGAACTGATGTTTCGTTCGTTCGTTCGGACTACGTATTGGAGCGGGACTCCATCTCTTCCTGGTATGGTACGGAGGTAGTTTACGAAGGTTGGGTGCCAATCATCCCATTGGACGTCGTTGGTGAAGTCTTGAGGTAGTGC